AAGATTTAATTATCATGTGTTGATTTTTTACCAGTTTCACAGAAAGGAATTCCTGGATCTTGATGAAAAATATCCGGCACGTTTAACGGGCTAATAACTCAGAGTGTCTGCAATTTACAGCAGATCCAAATAGAAATACTGATCAAAAGCAGATTCAAACATTTATCATTGTAATGAAATGTTAGATCTAACTGTTCGACCTGAATATTCTCAGTGAGTTCAGTTAAAATAGCCTGAATCAGCATTAAGCTCTACTTGGAGTTTTTGCGCGGGTGTAATAAATGTTTGTGTGCTGTGAGTAACTTTGCTTGTGTTCAATATACTCTGTGGAATTTTGCTTTGATCAGTATTAAATGCTTTGATTACAATTATTCAGTGCAATTGTTTATTTTCTCACCAGGGAGTTAAATGTAAATTCCCACCTCAATTATTACCGAGTTGATTATAGTTTTAGATGACTGACATGTTTGTTTTCAGATACTCGTGGACTGTCTGTTTTGCAGCCATATTGTTTTTGTTTCTTGTTCATTTAGATTCTAGAGGACTAACTTCCATTCTCTTATTACTTTAGAACAATTATAGACATTAATTATGTTGGAACTAGAAGTGCGTAAAAAGTTACTTTACTATTATTTAATTGCTCCAAGTGTTGTCTCTTTAATTAAACTGCGTTATCTGTATTTCCTGGTTCTATAACTCAGCTGAGCAGTGAATCGTTAGCATAGCTGAATTCTTCCTCATTCAACATCTATCATGTATTTTGTTGAAATTGGCCTCACATCTGTAATTTTAGCATTTAATTTATAGGATGACAAATTTAAGATTCAAGCGTAAAAAATTCAACTGTAAAAATTATAATGCTTTCTTGCTTCACTTCACAGTTTGCAGGAGTTGCAGAGGGGATATTCTTGGCGCCCTTCAGAGTAATTAAACTGTAGTGCCAGATATCTTGGAGTTATCTTTTTTGGTATTGACCTCGGTATTGATACTGTCAAAACAGGCCTGTTCCCTCCAGCTCCAAACCGCTGCCAAAATCAAAGCACTTCTCTCTTTCATTGAAGGAACTGGACCATTCAAGTCAATGGTCACTCTTGTGCCTCCTCTTATTGTTGCTACATCATCACATCTCCACAGTCCTGGCTTCCCTCCACTGCCTTTCTGTTAAGTGTAGAAATAATTCTGAGAGTAGTGCTTTTAAAGAACATTCAGTTTCGCCTCTGACCCGGACAAACTACTGTTAATGAGTTCAGGCCACAGCTCCGTCTGCTCTCCACAGATTTTGATTCCTGGCTGAGTAAAAGTGCAACGTTAACCCATATTTTCAGGATTCAGTTTTATTGACCTGCTTCACTGCAGAGCCACTTGTGATATCTGTCAATTAAAAGGCAAAGTACGAGGAGTTTTGAGGAATACTTATGCCTCTGGAAGGTATCTCTCTTTCTCTCTGTATCTATCTATTTATCTATCTATCTATTTATCTGTATGTATCTCTCTCTATCTATCTATCTACTATCTATCTGTTGCAATCTATCTACTATCTATCTATCTATCTATCTTTCAGGTGTCTCATTAAATTTTCTCCTCTTGTCATCTTTGATTTTAACAGACTTAATGGAAATAATGATGTAAAATACTCTGCAGCAGTTTTCACTCTTCTTCTTCAGGGGATTTTGAAAGCACAGTTAAACTGTGCACTTTTCGGTTCAAGGAGACTTTGGTATCACGCTGCTGAGGATGTCCTATTTTCAGAGGAAGCGCACTAATTAGTCTGCAGATTTGAGGAATGTCTTTGTGCCGATATGATGGGATGGATTTCCTTCGGGTTACAGCTCAGGTCAATACCTCATAGTGAATGGAATAAACAATATTTATTGATTGAAGCCTCCTTACACAAGACTTCCATGCAAAACTGACACTGGCTTTGTTTTCTCCTGATGGTGCAATGTCAGAATTACACATTTGACTTTTCAGAATATTTGTAATGTTTATGTTTTATGCATAGAATGTTGATTTATATCCAGTTGTTTAAACTGTAATTATATAAATGCTACAGTTTTGTTTGACCTTCATCCTGCTGAAGACTGTTTGGAGAAAAAAATGTGTGTGCTCTTTAATTTGACATCAATTTTTTTTCATGTGACGTATGAGAAATCCAGTTTGTTTTCAAATTAAAACTTTGCAACGATGTACGTTTGCACTGAGGACATCTGAGTCTTATTTTGAAACATTATGTGGAAAATCCCTTCCTACTTCCTTACCTGCTACTTCCTCCTGTTGCTCCACCCACAGAACCTGTATAGGAAGCCAGCTCACCATTTCCTGAAAGAAAATGGCTGGCCGCATGGTGGAGGCCTCACCCTGAAGTTTGGACCATCACCAATGTGAGTTTGCTTTATTTGTTGCTCCCAATCTGTTTGTATTGTTTAAAATAGTTTTGCTCTTTTTTACTTTAGTTGTCATTTTGGAAACATTTGAGTTTTTCACCGTCTTTGTTTGTTCTTTTCATGGAGGATGGATTAATGTTGTTTCCTTGATCTAAAACACAGATGATAACAGCACTTCTCCTCATATTTTTACACATATTTACTTCAACTTGAGGAAAGTTGTGCGTTCGGAGTTTTCGTACAATATGGATGAACTTCAACAAGTTAGCTTATGGATGCTAAAAGATGTGGCACCTGCCCCTAGCAACAACCAAGACACACAACAACAGCAAACAGCCGATCAGAGGCCCAGGTCATTTGACATCTGTTTTTATTTATAATTTCAAAAGAGCAAAATGGGGAAAATGGAAGTTATTCACTGTTAGAATATGTTATTGTATTTAGTATACAATGCAAACTAAAGGTAAACTTATATTTGTGTTGTCTACCTACAGAGTTCAGAGGATACAGGGAACTGTTTTTCATTATAAGAAGTTCCAGTGTACATCAGAGGCTAATATCTGGCTGTCCCACTTTCAATTACACAAACTGAGTGGGTCTGTCACATACTTAGAGGGGTGGGCCAGTGTTTCAAGTGTCTCATGTTAAATGCTTCTACTGGTGCCATTTGATTTTATGTCACTTTACACTATATATCATAGAAAACCGACCCTTTTCAGGGATTGACAAATTATTTAACTTGCAGCTTTCCTGCAACGAACAATTCCTATAACTTATTACTTCAAAACTTTACAAAGGCAGTGCTGGAACAAAGTGCTGCACAGCCTCTGATGGATTATTAGGACGATACTGAACTGCAGAAATTCACTACAGTATATTGGTAACAGAGTGGTGAGAAAAAGCCGAGTAACAAAGTAAGACGGAGCGGTTGGTTCAGTGTTCAGCAAGATAACGACTCAAAACATTAGAAGAAAATAACTAGACAGTGGCTTCAAATGATGGAGGAGCAGAGCAGTCTCTCGGCACATGGAACTGGTTGAGTGCAGCAAATTGATGAGAACTGTTTGGACAAACTTCCATCCATCCATTAGCTGTAGCACTCATCATTAAAGGGTGGTTGAGGGAGCCTGCTGCCAATCCCAGCTGACATTGATTGAAAGACACTGTACACCCTGCACAGGGATCGCTCGATGGTCCCATAACTGCACATAAAGATGACGGATCTCTTCCTCCCACGATCTAGAAATTAAAACAAAAATATGCAGGATACTCACGCAGCCGTAAGATCCAGCACCGCTGCAGTATCGAAGTCCTGCCGATGCATGGCCTCGACCAATCACGAGTCAGTCTGAGATGTCAATCCTGTTTCTTCCTGTTTTTTTAATTTATCATTATATAATTTATTAAAACTGGATTTAACTGAAATAGTATAAGAACTAACTGACAGAAACCATCTTGGAGAAAAATGGATTTGCTCTGCAATTTATATATTTTCATGAAGGTTTATGACTGCAGCCAGCCACTAGGGGGCAATTGAGACTTTTGGGCTTCACTTCCAGGGAGCGGTCTTGTTACTTCTTCTTCATCTGTGCTCTGTCCGCCTATTTTTATTCTTCTACCTTGTTCGGTTTCACAAGTTCTCTCTCATGTTTGGAAGGGGAGGGTGACGTGAGGGGTATTCAGCTGCAACATGCAACTTCACCACTAGATGTCAGTGAATTCTACACACTGAAGCTTTAAATTAACATTTACCACCTACCTATACATCTTTAAGACCGAGTATGTAATATTGTAATATATGCAAGACTTTAATAGGACTAATATTTTATTAAGATGCAGATATTCTGAATCATGATTCTACAGAAGCACATTGCATTCACTTGAGAAATAAATTTGCTTGGTTTTTTTGAATTAACAAAATAGTCTAGGCTCTCACTTCCATGAAATCAAACATGTCCCGATAAATTGAATCTGTTTTTATTTGGGAGATACTTGGGTGTTGCCTCTGACACTGTACTTGTAACCACACAGCACTGGTAGAGGGTTGTGAGAGCTTCACACAGAATTTTGAGGTAAGATTTATTTAGTTTTCTTTGATTTATAGAAAATTATCTAGTTAATTCAGGAAAACTGACCTTTTTTTTCTCTTTATATAAAAACCCTGCTCTGTTTTTCTGAATTAATGAGATCATCTGCTCCAGTTTTCTGGATAAAGGCGATTAATTAAGTCGTTAATTCAAAAAAAAAAGAGGAGCAGATTTTTTTTCTTACTTAATATCTCACTTATTTTCTTATTGTGTGAAATTAATCTTTGTAGATTTCTGAAACTTTAAACTGTAAAACAAATAATTTATTCATTTTTAATCTCAGTTGGCTCAGGGTTCGTAATAAGTGTTTTGCTCTATGTGTCTCTAAGCCACCGTTGGCTACTTAGTACGCGCAGTAATCCGAATTAGAGCCCCTGGTGACCATCTGCTGTCTCCTGCTGCAGCTCAGCGCACTACTTTGTTCCCGCATTCACCTCAGCCCGCCCCCTATATAACCCACCGGGCGGAGTAATCCGGGCTGGTATCTATTGAGTGCGTTTGTGTGTGTGTGTATGTGTGAGATAGTGCGTGCTTCGGCTGCTGCTTGTCACTCATTGTGCCGCGGACACGGGAAGCGACAAGGACCAAAACTGAGTCCGGTGGCAGTTGTTGTCCCTGGAAAAGGCTGATATCTGTTCCCCCCCCTCAGCTCCGGAGAGAGACACCGCGTGTTTAAAGTGCGTCTGTTCTGCGAGGAGAATATCTGTGACATTACAATGCTGCAAACAAGGGACATCCTCTGGGGACTGCTGTTCATTGGCTGCGCAGGTGAGACGCTGAGTTATTCTCTTATTATCCATATGCGGTTGCGCGCAGATGGATTCAAGCGGCTGCGGTTTGGAGAGGGGAGGCCGAGCGGTGTGGATCCTGGAGCAGCATCCTCCTGGTCCCACCGGCGGCATCCCTGTCACCGACTCCGGACACACGTTTGGAGCTGTGCGCGGTTAAATGGCAAAGTTTCTCCCGGGAGTGAGAGTTGTAACTCTTTTTACGCACATTCTATCCACACGGACGCGTTTTAAAAAAAATCCAGTTCCCGGCTGTTTCAGTTTAATTCCAGGAGTCGTGCGTTTTTTTTTTTAACATCTCCGCGCAATCGAGAGGAGCGTGCCACTCTCCCTCTGCTTCTCTCGCACCATCCTCTCCCACTTGAGCTTTTATTGTAGGTTTGAGTCGTTGTGGGTGAAAATAAACCCACATGCGCGTTGTTTCCATGCGAGTTACGCATTTGGGTTCGTAAAGGTTAGTGGAGGTGGATGCTGGTGGTGATGCGGAGCGCAGGGGCGCTTTGTGGTCCCCTCACACCAGCATATAATGCTCATATACTCCAAATGTGCACGAGTATGCGTCAGTCTTAGTTTCTAAAATCATATCGGGTGAAGTAAACATCAAATATTGTGTTTTTTAAAGTCCAGCCTGGCTCCATGACTGCTGCTGGGTCAGCTGTGACGCACCGTGGATGGAGCGGCGCAGCGTTGGCCGCTCCTCTCGGGGAGGGGGGGCTGCTTTGTTTCAGGGCACTGAAACAGCTTTAGGGACATTTTACCAAGATAAAAATATTTCTGTTTCATAAGCACGCGCTTAAAGTGTTTTGCATCGGGAGGATTACGACGCAGCCACGGTTTGGATTCTGTAATATCTTCGGATTTGGCTGGAAAACATCGCTCTGCGCAAAAAAAGTGTCAACGTGAGGTTTTAGTTTGTCACTATGGGATCAAATCCTTTTCTAGTGTCGCTTATGCTTCTGTTGTTTTTCTCCAACTTTATATTTCGCCGCGGTTTAGGCGCAAAAATAATGTGGACCACACTGATTCAATTGTAGTTTTCAATTCGGTTGGTCAAGATGAAATTCGTCATCCATTGAGAGACACTGAATAGTCATTCAAAATATACAATAGGATCCAATCCCAGAGCTCCCATGGTTATATGGGGCGGAAGGGGACCCGTTCTCCCCCCTGTACCCCCCCCATCCCCCCACCTAATGCGCCTCCCATATCCTCCTCCCCCCTGCATCTGCCCCCTCTTTCTATAGACTGCAACTGTGTACTCCAAGGGGCGTTTATGGACCCCCAGGGTTCCTTAGAGAGAGGACGAGTGGTTTGATTTGATAATAAATTAGTGGAGTAGAAGGATCATTGTTTTAACCTCAGGTGTTGAGTTCACCCCTCATGTTCCTCAGGTCCGTTGTTTCTGCAGTTTCTACATTCAGCTCCTGTTTGTCTTCGGTTTAACTTTTGTCTCCTCCCATTGAGGTTTACTTCAGCCAACATGTCTGTCCCTTAACCAGTCCTCCTTCCTTTAGAGGGTCAACTTTTTATTGCCCCAAAGGGAAATTTGGAAGCTGATAGTGTCATTAAAAAAATTGATATATCCGTCGATATTCATGTTTGACCAGAACTTTATGTGTTTAGCATTTTTAATTATCGTGACCAACATGTTGTAGTCGCCTCCGCCAAGGGTTCAGTTTGTTTATTTGTTGGTTGTTTGTCAGCACTATTGCGCAAAATCTGCCGAACGGATTTCCACAAAGACAAATGGGCCCATCCACAACTTTCTTGAACGTTGTGAGATGAGAAGTTTTTCAGAAAGTGGATTTCTGCGCTCTACTTGCTGCCGTTCTAGTTTGTTTGTCTGAGCATTAGCCTCGGCACAGCTACGTCCCAGTGCCCTTCTTATCATTGTTATGCTGTCGAAATATCAGTGACCTCTTGTGGACAAACTGTCTCATATCTGCTATAAGTTAAAATTGGCTAATGTGGTTGGCCTGGCTAATATATCTGTTAATATTTAATGGGTTGTGTAGCCACGATGTGTCAATTCACAGATTTGTGACTTGCCAATATTTGCAACCTCTCCTAACCACACAACAGAACTGTATGAACATTGTTCCACATGTAATGACTCACAGTCTTATTTATTTATTCTTCACACCCAATCACTGTTAGTGGTATAGAGGACGGAGTGGGACCAAGATGACTCTGTATGTTTTCTTTTTTGTTCTGTGTGATTCACGATCCTGCCAAAAATTCTGACGCCCCTGCAATTCCCTGCCTCGAAAAAGTGAGGGGAAGTGAATTGAACTAAGATAATCAGACAAGTCTTAGCTCTGCCCTGTTGCTACAGAGAAAGTGATCCAAAGAAATTGATCACATTTGTATGATAGGCCCCGGGTATATTAAAAGGGTAATGACAGCATCACACACTTTGAGCGCTGAGAAATGTAATTACATTCATTGATTTCCAGTTCCTGTTCCAGATCAGTGATAATTACATTTTTGAGGCCAGTAACAAACATGTGGAGCCAGGCCACCTTCCAAGAAACGACTAAATCATGGCCAGATTGAATATGATTTTCAGAAGTGGACACTGGCAGCAGCCTTATGTGTCTTAGTCAGCCTGCAGCCAGATGGATGGAGTCTAGTGTGTATCACCAGTTCTGACCTTGGGTTACTGGAGTGATTTTGCACATCCATGGTCATTAATCCGCAGCCTGAAAGACTGTTGATTTAGGGTTCTGGCCCTGAGTTGATCTGCTGTTGCTGTAGGCATTAGGAGGTAGTTTCAGCTTTTTCTGTTTCATGTCCTGTACCATCAGCTTTAGTTAAAAAAAAGCAGTGCAGAGTCATCGGCCAAAAAAGCACAACCTGGCACAACTTTATGCACCGCTGTCATCTGGCAATGCACTGTTTTGGCCAATCAACTCCAAGCAAGTAGAAGAGCCTGACAAATAATGTAACCTGCGTTCTTTGTTCTCTAAAATAAAATATTTCATGTTGGTAAACATGGATCCTGACTCCGACATGTCTGTTAAAGGGTCATATTTGTCTATTTATTGATAAATCAGGAGGGTTTGAGATCAATTATAATCAGGGAGACTTTGTAAAACACTTCATTTTATTTATACTCCTGTTCACACATTCATTCTGACTCATGGATGTGTTACTGAAACTAGACGTCCTATTATCTTGGTGAAACAAGAAGGCCTCACCGATGCAGCCCCCCCCCTCAGAATACCCAGTTTACACCTGCCTTGCCGTTTCTGCATTTTTTAAATTCATAAAACTCACGCTCGAGTTCAAAAGCAAAATCATATCCATCTGCTTTTGAATCTTCAGACATGCTGAGCTCTGCAAATGCAAACACTGTGTAGTTCATTTAATGATCCCCCGGATCTGAAACAATGTTTTGTGAGTCGAGCAAAGAGCAGAGCTCCTCAAAAGGAAGAAATAGTTCAAGTTAAGATTTCGAGGGAGAAAAAAATACACAATTCCTAAATGGCTCACATATGGTACTTTAACTGCTGTGGTGAGTTCAAAGCCACTATGAAAATAATACAGGCTATTTTTGACCTAGGGGAACTGGAAAAAGCAGCCAAACAAGGGAAAATTATAAGGCGTTTTTTAGTCTGTGCTCTGAATAAAACTGGATTCTGAATCTTTAGAACTTTGCTCTGCAGCTGTAACGTGATCTGTTGCATTTGAAGTGAAATGTCCACGTTTTCTACAAATTTCCTGCAGCTTATGTTGATCAAATTCTCATCAGCACAGGAGCTGCTCAGATTACAGCTGTACCCCATTGGCTTGAGCTCACATTTAGCTATATGGTGCAAACGACTCCTACTTCACACTTAAGAGTTTGAGAACGCAATAGAAAATGACTTTTCATTGAATTGCAACTTGTGAGGTCTATGCTCAAGTTTACTGAAGCATCTTTCATTACTGTGCCTCTTTCCCCACCCCCATTAGCCTATTTATGATTCTTATTCTTCTCACTATCATTTATGTGACATGTATTCTATGAAACTAGGAGTTTCTCAACAAGTATAAGATTGTATATACTTCTATAATCAATCCCAAATGACTCTGCAGCATCTGGATACAAATGAAACTGATGAAATGAGCCATTTCATACGAGTGTATTTCCCAAATGATTAAATAGGATTACCCCTGAATGTAAGAGCACGGTGTACTTTAAAACTTTAAGTCGCTCAAACAAAAGAGAAACAACCCTGACTTAAATTCTTAACTGTTTCCAAGAGAGCAACAATAAAACAGCTCTGAGATGACTCCCTGCATTAGTTAAACGGCCCTGAATCCCCAAATTCTGGTACAACGTGCATAAAATATGTAATACCAAAACCTGCTACTGCTTCACTAAAACCCAAAATAAATGTTAGGCACTGTATAAATGTTTTAGGTTGATTGTTAAAATCCTTCTGCCAAGGCAAACACCCTATCTCAAAGAGTTAAAGTAAAAAAACAACAACCCTGGATCCACCAACTTTCATCGAATCGGCGGCAAGAGTTTTTATGTTTGTCCTTGGCCCTGCACAAATATCGGTTTTAGTAGTTTTTGCCTAATCTTGCTTTAGTGATCAGACAAACATCAGTGATTATAACAGAGCAGACTTAATATTCCGGTCATAATTACAGTGACAGTTTGCTGATGTGTGTATAAAACTCATTTGAAATGTAAAAGACATTGAAACATCCGCTAGAGAACAGGACGTGGGTTGTGATACAATATCTATAAATCCATGTTTTCTCCCAGTGCTGCTTCACACTGAATCTAAAAGAACTGATGGTTCCAAACATCTAAGTTCAGAGCGACTCTGCTGGCTGGTAAATTAGTTCTCTGCCGACTGTTGGATCAGGACTGGGCCGTCTTTGCATAATAATCAGCGAATGAATAGGGACCATGAGTTATTTGCATTGTGTGAGCTCTGGTGGTGTCCTATAGAGAACTGAATGAAGGGGACAAGAAAAAAA